ATGCGTGGTACGTCCATTATACGTGCGCATACTGACCAGACTGCCCAACGCATCACTTTGACTGGTCCACTGCATTGAATGCCTCTTCTTTTGTGCTAGTCCACTAGATTAGACTATTTTCCACATCCACAACAATTGTTTCCATTTCGTTCCATGTGGTCCTCAAAATTTGAGCTCCTGAACTCTGCCTGGTACGCCCATAATTGGTGCGCATGCTGATCACACTGTCCAACGCATCACTTTGACTGGTCCACTACATTGGATGCCTCTTTTTTGTGCTAGTCCACTAGGTTAGACTATTTTCCACATCCACAACAATCTGTTCCATTTCGTTCCATGTGGTTCTCAAATTTTGAGCTCCTCAACTCTGCCTGGTACGCCCATAATAGGTGCGCATACTGACCAGACTGCCCAACGCATCACTTTGAAAGGTCCACTGCATTGGATGCCTCTTCTTTTGTGCTAGTCCACTATATTAGACTATTTTCCACATCCACAACATTTTTTTCCACTTCGTTCCATGTGGTTCTCAAAATTTGAGCGCCTGAACTCTGCGTGGTACGCCGATTATAGGTGCGCATACTAACCAGACTACCCAACGCATCACTTTGACTGGTCCAATACATTGGATGCCTCTTATTTTGTGCTAGTCCTCTAGATTAGACGATTTTACATGTCCAAAACAAGTGTTTCCATTAAATTCCACATGGCTCTCAATATTTGAGCTCCTGAACTATGCATGGTACGCCGATTATAGGTGCGCATACTAACCAGAGTACCCAGCGTATCACTTTGACTGGTCCACTGCATTGGATGCCTCTTGATTTGTGCTAGTCCACTAGATTAGACTATTTTCCACATCCATAGTAAGTGTTTCCATTTTGTTTCATGTGGTTCTCAAAATTTGAGCGCCTGAACTATGCGTGGTACGCCCATTATAGATGCGCATACTAACCAGACTACCCAACGCATCACTTTGACTGGTCCACTGCATTGGATGCCTCTTCTTTTGCGCTAGTCCACTAGATTAGACTATTTTCCACATCCACAGCAATTTTTTCCATTTCGTTCCATGTGGTTCCGTGTGGTTCTCAGAATTTGAGGGCCTGAATTCTGCGTGGTACGCCCATTATAGGTGCGCATACTGACCAGACTACCCATCGCATCACTTTGACTGGTCCACTGCATTGGATGCCTCTTCACTTGCAGTAGTCCACTAGATAAGACTCTTTTCCACATCCACAACAAGTGTTTCCATTTCGTTCCATGTGGTTCTCAAAATTTGAGCTCGTGAACTTTGCAGGTACGCCAACTATAATTGCGCATACTGACCAGACTACCCAACGCATCACATGACTGGTCCACTACATTGGATGCCTCTTCGTTTGTGCTATTCTACTAGATTGGACTATTTTCTACATCCACAACAAATGTTTCCATTTCGTTCCATGTGGTTCTCAAAATTTGAGCGCCTGAAGTATGCGTGGTACGCCCATTATAGGTGCGCATACTGACCAGACTACCCAACGCATCACTTTGACTGGTCAACTGCATTGGATGCCTCTTCTTTTATGCTATTCCACTAGATTAGACTATTTTCCACATCCATAACATTTTTTTTCCATTTCGTTCCAAATGGTTCTCAAAATTTGAGCTCCTGAACTCTGCCTGGTACGCCCACAATAGGTGCGCATACCGACCAGACTGCCCAACGCATCACTTTGACTGCATTGGATGCCTCTTGTTTTGTGCTAGTCCACTACATAAGACTATTTTTCACATCCACAACAAGTATTTTCATTTCGTTCCATGTGGTTCTCAAAATTTGAGCGCTTGATCTATGCGTGGTATGCCCATTATAGGTGCGCATACTGACCAGACTGCCCAACGCATCACTTTGACTGGTCCACTGCATTTGATGCCTATTCTTTTGTGCTAGTCCACTAGGTTATACTTTTTTCCACATCCACAAAAATTTGTTCCATTTCGTTCCATGTGGTTCTCAAATTTTGAGCTCCTAAACTCTGCCTGGTAAACCCATAATAGGTGCGCATACGGACCAGACTGCCCAACGCTTCATTTTGACTGGTCCACTGCATTGGATGCTTCTTCTTTTGTGCTAGTCCACTAGATTAGACTATTTTCCACATCCACAACAAATATTTCCACTTCGTTCCATGTGGCTCTCAAAATTTGAGCTCCTGAACTCTGCCTTGTACGCCCGTTATAGGTGCGCATACTGACCAGACTGCCCAGCGCATCACTTTGACTGGTCCACTGTATGGATGCCTCTTCTTTTGTGGTAGTCAACTAGATTAAACTATTTTCCACATCCACAACAATTTTTTCCACTTCGTTCCATATGGTTCTCAAAATTTGAGCTCCTGAACTCTGCGTGGTACGCCCATTATAGGTGCGCATACTGACCAGACTGCCCAACGCATCACTTTTACTGGTCCACTGCATTGGATGCCTCTTCATTTGTGCTAGTCCACTAGATTAGACTATTTTCCACGTCCACAACAAGTGGTTCCATTAAATTCCATGTGGCTCTCAAAATTTGAGCTCCTGAACTATGCGTGGTACGCCGATATAGGTGCGCATACTAACCAGAGTACCCTGCGCATCACTTTGACTGGTCCATTGCATTGGATGCCTCTTGATTTGTGCTAGTCCACTAGATTAAACTATTTTCCACATCCATGGTAAGTGTTTCCATTTCGTTCCATGTGGTTCTCAAAATTTGAGTGCCTGAACTATGCGTGGTACGCCCATTATAGGTGCGCATACTAACCAGACTACCCAACGCATCACTTTGACTGGTCCACTGCATTCGATGCCTCTTCTTTTGTGCTATTCCATTAGATTAGACTATTTTTCACATCCGCAGCAATTGTTTCCATTTCGTTCCATGTGGTTCCATGTGGTTCTCAAAATTTGAGGGCCTGAATTCTGCGTGGTACGCCCATTATAGGTGCGCATACTGACCAGACTACCCATCGCATCACAATGACTGTTCCACTGCATTGGATGCCTCTTCACTTGCACTAGATTAGACTCTTTTTCACATCCACAACAAGTGTTTCCATTTCGTTCCATGTGGTTCTCAAAATTTGAGCTCCTGAACTTTGCAGGTAGTTGCGCCAACTATAGTTGCGCATACTGACTAGACTACCCAACGCATCACACGACTGGTCCACTACATTGGATGCCTCTTCATTTGTGCTATTCTACTAGATTGGACTATTTTCTACATCTACAACAAGTGTTTCCATTTCGTTCCATATGGTTCTCAAAATTTGAGCGCCTGAACTATGCGTGGTACGCCCATTATAGGTGCGCATACTGACCAGACTACCCAACGCATCACTTTGACTGGTCCACTGCATTGGATGCCTCTTCTTTTGTGCTAGTCCACTAGATTAGACTATTTTCCACATCCATAACAATTTTTTCTATTTCGTTCCAAATGGTTCTCAAAATTTGAGCTCCTGAACTCTGCCTGGTACGCCCATAATAGGTACGCATACCGACCAGACTGCCCAACGCATCACTTTGACTGCATTGGATGCCTCTTCTTTTATGCTAGTCCACTATATAAGACTATTTTTCACATCCACAACAAGTATTTCCATTTCGTTCCATGTGGTTCTCAAAATTTGAGCGCTTGATCTATGCGTGGTACGCCCATTATAGGTGCGCATACTGACCAGACTGCCCAACGCATCACTTTGACTGGTCCACTTCATTGGATGCCTATTCTTTTGTGCTAGTCCACTAGATTAAACTATTTTCCACATCCATGGTAAGTGTTTCCATTTCGTTCCATGTGGTTCTCAAAATTTGAGCGCTTGATCTATGCGTGGTACGCCCATTATAGGTGCGCATACTAACCAGACTACCCAACGCATCACTTTGACTGGTCCACTGCATTCGATGCCTCTTCTTTTGTGCTATTCCACTAGATTAGACTATTTGTCACATCCACAGCAATTGTTTCCATTTCGTTCCATGTGGTTCCATGTGGTTCTCAAAATTTGAGGGCCTGAATTCTGCGTGGTACGCCCATTATAGGTGCGCATACTGACCAGACTACCCATCGCATCACAATGACTGTTCCACTGCATTGGATGCCTCTTCACTTGCACTAGATTAGACTCTTTTCCACATCCACAACAAGTGTTTCCATTTCGTTCCATGTGGTTCTCAAAATTTGAGCTCCTGAACTTTGCAGGTAGTTGCGCCAACTATAGTTGCGCATACTGACCAGACTACCCAACGCATCACATGACTGGTCCACTGCATTGGATGCCTCTTCTTTTGTGCTAGTCCACTAGATTAGACTATTTTCCACATCCATAACAATTTTTTCTATTTCGTTCCAAATGGTTCTCAAAATTTGAGCTCCTGAATTCTGCCTGGTACGCCCATGATAGGTACGCATACCGACCAGACTGCCCAACGCATCACTTTGACTGCATTGGATGCCTCTTCTTTTATGCTAGTCCACTATATAAGACTATTTTCCACATCCATAACAAGTGTTTCCATTTCGTTCCATGTGGTTCTGAAAATTTGAGCGTCTGAACTATGCCTGGTACGCCCATAATAGGTGCGCATACTGACCAGCCTGCCCAACGCATCACTTTGACTGGTCCACTGCATTGGATGCATCTTCTTTTGCGCTAATCCATTAGATTAGTATTTTCCACATCCACAACAACTGTTTCCATTTCTTTACATGTGGTTCTCAAAATTTTAGCGCCTGAACTATGCCTGGTACGCCCATTACAGGTGCCCATACTGACAAGACTGCCCAACGCATCACTTTGACTGGTCCACTGTATTGGATGCCTCTTCTTTTGCGCTAGTCCTTTAGATTATACTATTTTCCACATCCACAACAACTGTTTCCATTTCGTTCCATGTGGTTCTCAAAATTTGAGCGCCTGAACTATGCGTGGTACGCCCATTATGCGTGGACCAGACTACCCAAGGCATCACTTTGATGGAAAGCGGGAGAATGGGGCGGGGTGATGGAAAGCGGGAGAATGGGGCAGGGTGATGGAAAGCGGAAGAATGGGGCGGGATGATGGAAAGCGGGAGAATGGGGCGGTGTGATGGGAAAGGGGAGAATGGGGCGGGGTGATGGAAAGCAGGAGAATGGGGCAGGGTGATGGAAAGCGGGAGAATGGGGCGGTGTGATGGAAGGAGGGAGGATGGGGCGGGGTGATGGAAAGCGGGAGAATGGGGCGGGGTGATGGAAGTAGGGAGGATGGGCCGGGGTGATGAAATGCGGGAGAATGGGGCGGGGTGATGGAAATCGGGAGAATGGGGCGGGGTGATGGAAAGCGAAAGAATGGGGCGGGGTTATGGGAAGGGGGAGAATGAGGCGTGGTGATGGAAAGCGGGAGAATGGGGCGGGGTGATGGAAAGCGGGAGAATGGGGCGTGGTGATGGAACGAGGGAGAATGGGGCGGGTGACGGAAAGCGGGAGAATGGGGCGGGGTGATGGAAAGCGGGAGAATGGGGCGGGGTGATGGGAATCGGGAGAATGGGGCGGAGTGATGGAAAGCGGGTAAATGGGGCGGGGTGATGGAAAGAGGGAGAATGGGGCGGGGTGATGGAAACAGGGAGAATGGGGAGGGGTGATAAAAAGCGTGAGAATGGGGTGGGTTGATGGAAAGCAGGAGAATGGGGCGGGGTGATGGAAATAGGGAGAATGGGGCGGGGTGATGAAAAGAGGGAGAATGGGGCGGGGTGATGGAAAGCGGGAGAATAGGGCGGGGTGATGGAAGTGGGAGAATGGGGCGGAGTGATGGAAAGAGGGAGAATGAGGCGGGGTGATGGAAAGCGGGGAAAAGGGGCGGGGTGATGGAAAGAGGGAGAATGGGGCGGGGTGATGGAAAGCGGGGAAAAGGGGCGGGGTGATGGAAAGAGGGAGAATGGTTCAGGGTGATGGAAAGCGGGAGAATGAATGGGGCGGGGTGAAGGAAAGCGGGAGAATGGGGCGGGGTGTTGGAAAGAGGGAGAATGGGGCGGGGTGATGGAAGGAGGGAGTATGGGGCGGGGTGATGGAAAGCGGGAGAATGGGGCGGGGTGATGGAAAGCGGGAGAATGGGGCGGGGTGATGGAATGCGGGAGAATGGGGCGGGTTGATGGGAAGCGGTAAAATGGGGCGGGGTGAAGGAAAGCGGGAGAATGGGGCGGGGTGATGGAAAGAGGGAGAATGGGGCGGGGTGATGGAAAGCGGGAGAATGAGGCGGGGTGATGGAAAGCGTTAGAATAGGGTGGGGTGATGGAAAGCGGGAGAATGGGGCGGGGTGATGGAAAGCGGGAGAATGGGGCGGGGTGATAGAAAGCGGGAGAATGGGGCGGGGTGATGGAAAGCGGGAGAATGGGGCGGGGTGATGGAAAGCGGGAGAATGGGGGTGGTTGATGGAAAGAGGGAGAATGGGGCGGGTGATGGAAAGCGGGAGAATGGGGCGTGGTGAAGGAAAGGGGGAGAATGGGGCGGGGTGATGGAAAGCGGGAGAATGGGGCGGAGTGATGGACAGAGGGAGAATGGGGCGGGGTGATGGAAAAAGGGAGAATGGGGCGGGGTGATGGAGAGTGGGAGGATGGGGCGGGGTGATGGAAAGCGGGACAATGGGGTGGGGCGATGGAAAGCGGGAGAATGGGGCGAGGTGATGGAAAGCGGGAGAATGGGGCGGAGCGATGGAAAGCGGGAGAATGGGGCGGGGTGATGGAAAGCGGGAAAATGGGGCAGGGTGATGGGAAGCGGGAGAATGGGGCGGGATGATGGAAAGCGGGAGAATGGGGCGGGGTGATGGAAAGCGGGAGAATGGGTCGGGGTGATGGAATGCGGGAGAATGGGGCGGGGTGATGGAAAGCGGGAGAATGGGGCGGGGTGATGGAAAGCGGGAGAATGGGGCGAGGTGATGGAAAGCGGGAGAATGGGGCGGGGCGATGGGAAGCGGGAGAATGGGGCTGAGTGATGGAAAGCGGGAGAATGGGGCGGGGTGATGGAAAGAGGGAGAATGGGGTGGGGTGATGGAAAGCGGGAGAATGGGGCGGGGTGATGGAAAGCGTGAGAATGGGACAGGGTGATAGAAAGCGGGAGAATTGGGCGGGGCGATGGAAAGAGGGAGAATGGGGCGAGGTGATGGAAAGAAGGAGAATGGGGCAGGGTGATGGAAAGCGGGAGAATTGGGCGGGGCGATGGAAGCGGGAGAATGGGGCGGAGTGATGGAAAGATGGAGAATTGGGCGGGGTGCTGGAAAGCAGGGGAATGGGGCAGGTTGATGGAAAGCGGGAGAATGGGGTGGGGTGATGGAAAGCGGGAACATGGGGCGGGGTGATGGAAAGCGGGAGAATTGGGCGGGGCGACGGAAAGCAGGAGAATGGGGCGGGAGAATGGGGTGGGGTGATGGAAAGCGGGAGAATGGGGCGGGGTGATGGAAAGCGGGAGAATGGGTCGGGGTGATGGAAAGCGGGAGAATGGGGCGGGGTGATGGAAAGCGGGAGAATGGGGCGGGGTGATGGAAAGCGGGAGAATGGGTCGGGGTGATGGAAAGCGGGAGAATGGGGCGGGGTGATGGAAAGCGGGAGAATGGGGCGGGGTGATGGAAAGCGGGAGAATGGGGCGGGGCGATGGAAAGCGGGAGAATGCGGCGAGGTGATGGAAAGCGGGAGAATGGGGCGGGGTGATGGAAAGCGTGAGAATGGGACGGGGTGATAGAAAGCGGGAGAATTGGGCGGGGCAATGGAAAGAGGGAGAATGGGGCGAGGTGATGGAAAGAAGGAGAATGGGGCGGGGTGATGGAAAGCGGGAGAATTGGGCGGGGCGATGGAAGCGGGAGAATGGGGCGGAGTGATGGAAAGATGGAGAATGGGGCGGGGTGCTGGAAAGCAGGGGAATGGGGCAGGTTGATGGAAAGCGGGAGAATGGGGTGGGGTGATGGAAAGCAGGAACATGGGGCGGGGTGATGGAAAGCGGGAGAATTGGGCGGGGCGATGGAAAGCAGGAGAATGGGGTGGGGTGATGGAAAGCGGGAGAATGGGGCGGGGTGATGGAAAGCGGGAGAATGGGGCGGGGTGATGGAAGCGGGAGAATGGGGCGGGGTGATGGAAAGCGGGAGAATGGGGCGGGGTGATGGAAAGCGGGAGAATGGGGTGGGATGATGGAAAGCGGGAGAATGGGGCGGCGTGATGGAAAGAGGGAGAATGGGGCGGGGTGATGGAAGGAGGGAGAATGGGGCGGGGTGATGGAAAGCGGGAGAATGGGGCGGGGTGATGGGAAGCGGGAGAAAGAGGCGGGGTGATGGAAGGAGGGAGGATGGGGTGGGCCGATGGAAAGCGGGAGAATGGGGCGGAGTGATGGAAAGCAGGAGAATGGGGCGGGGCGATGGAAAGCGGGAGAATGGGGCGGGGTGATGGAAAGCGGGAGAATGGGGCGAGGTGATGGAAAGCGGGAGAATGGGGCGGAGCGATGGAAAGCGGGAGAATGGGGCAGGGTGATGGGAAGCGGGAGAATGGGGCGGGGTGATGGAAAGCGGGAGAATGGGGCGGGGTGATGGAAAGCGGGAGAATGGGTCGGGGTGATGGAAAGAGGGAGAATGGGGCGGGGTGATGGAATGCGGGAGAATGGGGCGGGGTGATGGAAAGCGGGAGAATGGGGCGGGGCGATGGAAAACGGGAGAATGGGGCGAGGTGATGGAAAGCGGGAGAATGGGGCGGGGCGATGGGAAGCGGGAGAATGGGGCTGAGTGATGGAAAGCGGGAGAATGGGTCGGGGTGATGGAAAGAGGGAGAATGGGGCGGGTTGATGGAAAGCGGGAGAATGGGGCGGGGTGATGGAAAGCGTGAGAATAGGACGGGGTGATAGAAAGCGGGAGAATTGGGCGGGGCGATGGAAAGAGGGAGAATGGGGCGAGGTGATGGAAAGAAGGAGAATGGGGCGAGTGATGGAAAGCGGGAGAATTGGGCGGGGCGATGGAAGCGGGAGAATGGGGCGGAGTGATGGAAAGATGGAGAATGGGGCGGGGTGCTGGAAAGCGGGGGAATGGGGCGGGTTGATGGAAAGCGGGAGAATGGGGTGGGGTGATGGAAAGCGGGAACATGGGGCGGGGTGATGGAAAGCGGGAGAATTGGGCGGGGCGACGGAAAGCAGGAGAATGGGGCGGGGTGATGGAAAGCGGGAGAATGGGGCGGGGTGATGGAAAGCGGGAGAATGGGGCGGGGTGATGGAAGCGGGAGAATGGGGCGGGGTGATGGAAAGCGGGAGAATGGGGCGGGGTGATGGAAAGCGGGAGAATGGGGTGGGATGATGGAAAGCGGGAGAATGGGGCGGGGTGATGGAAAGAGGGAGAATGGGGCGGGGTGATAGAAGGAGGGAGAATGGGGCGGGGTGATGGAAAGCGGGAGAATGGGGCGGGGTGATGGGAAGCGGGAGAAAGAGGCGGGGTGATGGAAGGAGGGAGGATGGGGTGGGCCGATGGAAAGCGGGAGAATGGGGCGGAGTGATGGAAAGTGGGAGAATGGGGCGGGGCGATGGAAAGCGGGAGAATGGGGTGGGGTGATGGAAAGCGGGAGAATGGGGCGGGGTGATGGAAAGCGGGAGAATGGGGCGGGGTGATGGAAAGCGGGGAAAAGGGGCGGGGTGATGGAAAGAGGGAGAATGGTTCAGGGTGATGGAAAGCGGGAGAATGGGGTGGGGTGATGGAAAGCGGGAGAATGGGGCAGGGTGATGGAAAGCGGGAGAATGGGGTGGGGTGATGGAAAGCGTTAGAATAGGGTGGGGTGATGGAAAGCGGGAGAATCGGGCAGGGTGATGGAAAGCGGGAGAATGGGGCGGGGTGATAGAAAGCGGGAGAATGGGGCGGGGTGATGGAAAGCGGGAGAATGGGGCGGGGTGATGGAAAGCGGGAGAATGGGGGTGGTTGATGGAAAGAGGGAGAATGGGGCGGGTGATGGAAAGCGGGAGAATGGGGCGTGGTGAAGGAAAGGGGGAGAATGGGGCGGGGTGATGGAAAGCGGGAGAATGGGGCGGAGTGATGGACAGAGGGAGAATGGGGCGGGGTGATGGAAAAAGGGAGAATGGGGCGGGGTGATGGAGAGTGGGAGGATGGGGCGGGGTGATGGAAAGCGGGACAATGGGGTGGGGCGATGGAAAGCGGGAGAATGGGGCGGGGCGATGGAAAGCGGGAGAATGGGGCGAGGTGATGGAAAGCGGGAGAATGGGGCGGAGCGATGGAAAGCGGGAGAATGGGGTGGGGTGATGGAAAGCGGGAAAATGGGGCAGGGTGATGGGAAGCGGGAGAATGGGGCACGGTGATGGAAAGCGGGAGAATGGGGCGGGGTGATGGAAAGCGGGAGAATGGGTCGGGGTGATGGAAAGCGGGAGAATGGGGCGGGGTGATGGAAAGCGGGAGAATGGGGCGGGGTGATGGAAAGCGGGAGAATGGGGCGGGGCGATGGAAAGCGGGAGAATGCGGCGAGGTGATGGAAAGCGGGAGAATGGGGCGGGGTGATGGAAAGCGTGAGAATGGGACGGGGTGATAGAAAGCGGGAGAATTGGGCGGGGCAATGGAAAGAGGGAGAATGGGGCGAGGTGATGGAAAGAAGGAGAATGGGGCGGGGTGATGGAAAGCGGGAGAATTGGGCGGGGCGATGGAAGCGGGAGAATGGGGCGGAGTGATGGAAAGATGGAGAATGGGGCGGGGTGCTGGAAAGCAGGGGAATGGGGCAGGTTGATGGAAAGCGGGAGAATGGGGTGGGGTGATGGAAAGCAGGAACATGGGGCGGGGTGATGGAAAGCGGGAGAATTGGGCGGGGCGATGGAAAGCAGGAGAATGGGGTGGGGTGATGGAAAGCGGGAGAATGGGGCGGGGTGATGGAAAGCGGGAGAATGGGGCGGGGTGATGGAAGCGGGAGAATGGGGCGGGGTGATGGAAAGCGGGAGAATGGGGCGGGGTGATGGAAAGCGGGAGAATGGGGTGGGATGATGGAAAGCGGGAGAATGGGGCGGCGTGATGGAAAGAGGGAGAATGGGGCGGGGTGATGGAAGGAGGGAGAATGGGGCGGGGTGATGGAAAGCGGGAGAATGGGGCGGGGTGATGGGAAGCGGGAGAAAGAGGCGGGGTGATGGAAGGAGGGAGGATGGGGTGGGCCGATGTAAAGCGGGAGAATGGGGCGGAGTGATGGAAAGCGGGAGAATGGGGCGGGGTGATGGAAAGCGGGAGAATGGGGCGGGGCGATGGAAAGCGGGAGAATGGGGCGAGGTGATGGAAAGCGGGAGAATGGGGCGGGGTGATGGAAAGCGGGGAAAAGGGGCGGGGTGATGGAAAGCGGGAGAATGGGGCGGGGCGATGGAAAGCGGGAGAATGGGGCGGGGTGATGGAAAGCGGGAGAATGGGGCGGGGTGATGGAAGCGGGAGAATGGGGCGGGGTGATGGAAAGCGGGAGAATGGGGCGGGGTGATGGAAAGCGGGAGAATGGGGTGGGATGATGGAAAGCGGGAGAATGGGGCGGCATGATGGAAAGAGGGAGAATGGGGCGGGGTGATGGAAGGAGGGAGAATGGGGCTTGGTGATGGAAAGCGGGAGAATGGGGCGGGGTGATGGGAAGCGGGAGAAAGAGGCGGGGTGATGGAAAGCGTGAGAATAGGACGGGGTGATAGAAAGCGGGAGAATTGGGCGGGGCGATGGAAAGAGGGAGAATGGGGCGAGGTGATGGAAAGAAGGAGAATGGGGCGAGTGATGGAAAGCGGGAGAATTGGGCGGGGCGATGGAAGCGGGAGAATGGGGCGGAGTGATGGAAAGATGGAGAATGGGGCGGGGTGCTGGAAAGCGGGGGAATGGGGCGGGTTGATGGAAAGCGGGAGAATGGGGTGGGGTGATGGAAAGCGGGAACATGGGGCGGGGTGATGGAAAGCGGGAGAATTGGGCGGGGCGACGGAAAGCAGGAGAATGGGGCGGGGTGATGGAAAGCGGGAGAATGGGGCGGGGTGATGGAAAGCGGGAGAATGGGGCGGGGTGATGGAAGCGGGAGAATGGGGCGGGGTGATGGAAAGCGGGAGAATGGGGCGGGGTGATGGAAAGCGGGAGAATGGGGTGGGATGATGGAAAGCGGGAGAATGGGGCGGGGTGATGGAAAGAGGGAGAATGGGGCGGGGTGATAGAAGGAGGGAGAATGGGGCGGGGTGATGGAAAGCGGGAGAATGGGGCGGGGTGATGGGAAGCGGGAGAAAGAGGCGGGGTGATGGAAGGAGGGAGGATGGGGTGGGCCGATGGAAAGCGGGAGAATGGGGCGGAGTGATGGAAAGTGGGAGAATGGGGCGGGGCGATGGAAAGCGGGAGAATGGGGTGGGGTGATGGAAAGCGGGAGAATGGGGCGGGGTGATGGAAAGCGGGAGAATGGGGCGGGGTGATGGAAAGCGGGGAAAAGGGGCGGGGTGATGGAAAGAGGGAGAATGGTTCAGGGTGATGGAAAGCGGGAGAATGGGGTGGGGTGATGGAAAGCGGGAGAATGGGGCAGGGTGATGGAAAGCGGGAGAATGGGGTGGGGTGATGGAAAGCGTTAGAATAGGGTGGGGTGATGGAAAGCGGGAGAATCGGGCAGGGTGATGGAAAGCGGGAGAATGGGGCGGGGTGATAGAAAGCGGGAGAATGGGGCGGGGTGATGGAAAGCGGGAGAATGGGGCGGGGTGATGGAAAGCGGGAGAATGGGGCGGGGTGATAGAAAGCGGGAGAATGGGGCGGGGTGATGGAAAGCGGGAGAATGGGGCGGGGTGATAGAAAGCGGGAGAATTGGGCGGGGCGATGGAAAGAGGGAGAATGGGGCGAGGTGATGGAAAGAAGGAGAATGGGGCGAGTGATGGAAAGCGGGAGAATTGGGCGGGGCGATGGAAGCGGGAGAATGGGGCGGAGTGATGGAAAGATGGAGAATGGGGCGGGGTGCTGGAAAGCGGGGGAATGGGGCGGGTTGATGGAAAGCGGGAGAATGGGGTGGGGTGATGGAAAGCGGGAACATGGGGCGGGGTGATGGAAAGCGGGAGAATTGGGCGGGGCGACGGAAAGCAGGAGAATGGGGCGGGGTGATGGAAAGCGGGAGAATGGGGCGGGGTGATGGAAAGCGGGAGAATGGGGCGGGGGTGATGGAAGCGGGAGAATGGGGCGGGGTGATGGAAAGCGGGAGAATGGGGCGGGGTGATGGAAAGCGGGAGAATGGGGTGGGATGATGGAAAGCGGGAGAATGGGGCGGGGTGATGGAAAGAGGGAGAATGGGGCGGGGTGATAGAAGGAGGGAGAATGGGGCGGGGTGATGGAAAGCGGGAGAATGGGGCGGGGTGATGGGAAGCGGGAGAAAGAGGCGGGGTGATGGAAGGAGGGAGGATGGGGTGGGCCGATGGAAAGCGGGAGAATGGGGCGGAGTGATGGAAAGTGGGAGAATGGGGCGGGGCGATGGAAAGCGGGAGAATGGGGTGGGGTGATGGAAAGCGGGAGAATGGGGCGGGGTGATGGAAAGCGGGAGAATGGGGCGGGGTGATGGAAAGCGGGGAAAAGGGGCGGGGTGATGGAAAGAGGGAGAATGGTTCAGGGTGATGGAAAGCGGGAGAATGGGGTGGGGTGATGGAAAGCGGGAGAATGGGGCAGGGTGATGGAAAGCGGGAGAATGGGGTGGGGTGATGGAAAGCGTTAGAATAGGGTGGGGTGATGGAAAGCGGGAGAATCGGGCAGGGTGATGGAAAGCGGGAGAATGGGGCGGGGTGATAGAAAGCGGGAGAATGGGGCGGGGTGATGGAAAGCGGGAGAATGGGGCGGGGTGATGGAAAGCGGGAGAATGGGGGTGGTTGATGGAAAGAGGGAGAATGGGGCGGGTGATGGAAAGCGGGAGAATGGGGCGTGGTGAAGGAAAGGGGGAGAATGGGGCGGGGTGATGGAAAGCGGGAGAATGGGGCGGAGTGATGGACAGAGGGAGAATGGGGCGGGGTGATGGAAAAAGGGAGAATGGGGCGGGGTGATGGAGAGTGGGAGGATGGGGCGGGGTGATGGAAAGCGGGACAATGGGGTGGGGCGATGGAAAGCGGGAGAATGGGGCGGGGCGATGGAAAGCGGGAGAATGGGGCGAGGTGATGGAAAGCGGGAGAATGGGGCGGAGCGATGGAAAGCGGGAGAATGGGGTGGGGTGATGGAAAGCGGGAAAATGGGGCAGGGTGATGGGAAGCGGGAGAATGGGGCACGGTGATGGAAAGCGGGAGAATGGGGCGGGGTGATGGAAAGCGGGAGAATGGGTCGGGGTGATGGAAAGCGGGAGAATGGGGCGGGGTGATGGAAAGCGGGAGAATGGGGCGGGGTGATGGAAAGCGGGAGAATGGGGCGGGGCGATGGAAAGCGGGAGAATGCGGCGAGGTGATGGAAAGCGGGAGAATGGGGCGGGGTGATGGAAAGCGTGAGAATGGGACGGGGTGATAGAAAGCGGGAGAATTGGGCGGGGCAATGGAAAGAGGGAGAATGGGGCGAGGTGATGGAAAGAAGGAGAATGGGGCGGGGTGATGGAAAGCGGGAGAATTGGGCGGGGCGATGGAAGCGGGAGAATGGGGCGGAGTGATGGAAAGATGGAGAATGGGGCGGGGTGCTGGAAAGCAGGGGAATGGGGCAGGTTGATGGAAAGCGGGAGAATGGGGTGGGGTGATGGAAAGCAGGAACATGGGGCGGGGTGATGGAAAGCGGGAGAATTGGGCGGGGCGATGGAAAGCAGGAGAATGGGGTGGGGTGATGGAAAGCGGGAGAATGGGGCGGGGTGATGGAAAGCGGGAGAATGGGGCGGGGTGATGGAAGCGGGAGAATGGGGCGGGGTGATGGAAAGCGGGAGAATGGGGCGGGGTGATGGAAAGCGGGAGAATGGGGTGGGATGATGGAAAGCGGGAGAATGGGGCGGCGTGATGGAAAGAGGGAGAATGGGGCGGGGTGATGGAAGGAGGGAGAATGGGGCGGGGTGATGGAAAGCGGGAGAATGGGGCGGGGTGATGGGAAGCGGGAGAAAGAGGCGGGGTGATGGAAGGAGGGAGGATGGGGTGGGCCGATGTAAAGCGGGAGAATGGGGCGGAGTGATGGAAAGCGGGAGAATGGGGCGGGGTGATGGAAAGCGGGAGAATGGGGCGGGGCGATGGAAAGCGGGAGAATGGGGCGAGGTGATGGAAAGCGGGAGAATGGGGCGGGGTGATGGAAAGCGGGGAAAAGGGGCGGGGTGATGGAAAGCGGGAGAATGGGGCGGGGCGATGGAAAGCGGGAGAATGGGGCGGGGTGATGGAAAGCGGGAGAATGGGGCGGGGTGATGGAAGCGGGAGAATGGGGCGGGGTGATGGAAAGCGGGAGAATGGGGCGGGGTGATGGAAAGCGGGAGAATGGGGTGGGATGATGGAAAGCGGGAGAATGGGGCGGCATGATGGAAAGAGGGAGAATGGGGCGGGGTGATGGAAGGAGGGAGAATGGGGCTTGGTGATGGAAAGCGGGAGAATGGGGCGGGGTGATGGGAAGCGGGAGAAAGAGGCGGGGTGATGGAAAGCGTGAGAATAGGACGGGGTGATAGAAAGCGGGAGAATTGGGCGGGGCGATGGAAAGAGGGAGAATGGGGCGAGGTGATGGAAAGAAGGAGAATGGGGCGAGTGATGGAAAGCGGGAGAATTGGGCGGGGCGATGGAAGCGGGAGAATGGGGCGGAGTGATGGAAAGATGGAGAATGGGGCGGGGTGCTGGAAAGCGGGGGAATGGGGCGGGTTGATGGAAAGCGGGAGAATGGGGTGGGGTGATGGAAAGCGGGAACATGGGGCGGGGTGATGGAAAGCGGGAGAATTGGGCGGGGCGACGGAAAGCAGGAGAATGGGGCGGGGTGATGGAAAGCGGGAGAATGGGGCGGGGTGATGGAAAGCGGGAGAATGGGGCGGGGTGATGGAAGCGGGAGAATGGGGCGGGGTGATGGAAAGCGGGAGAATGGGGCGGGGTGATGGAAAGCGGGAGAATGGGGTGGGATGATGGAAAGCGGGAGAATGGGGCGGGGTGATGGAAAGAGGGAGAATGGGGCGGGGTGATAGAAGGAGGGAGAATGGGGCGGGGTGATGGAAAGCGGGAGAATGGGGCGGGGTGATGGGAAGCGGGAGAAAGAGGCGGGGTGATGGAAGGAGGGAGGATGGGGTGGGCCGATGGAAAGCGGGAGAATGGGGCGGAGTGATGGAAAGTGGGAGAATGGGGCGGGGCGATGGAAAGCGGGAGAATGGGGTGGGGTGATGGAAAGCGGGAGAATGGGGCGGGGTGATGGAAAGCGGGAGAATGGGGCGGGGTGATGGAAAGCGGGGAAAAGGGGCGGGGTGATGGAAAGAGGGAGAATGGTTCAGGGTGATGGAAAGCGGGAGAATGGGGTGGGGTGATGGAAAGCGGGAGAATGGGGCAGGGTGATGGAAAGCGGGAGAATGGGGTGGGGTGATGGAAAGCGTTAGAATAGGGTGGGGTGATGGAAAGCGGGAGAATCGGGCAGGGTGATGGAAAGCGGGAGAATGGGGCGGGGTGATAGAAAGCGGGAGAATGGGGCGGGGTGATGGAAAGCGGGAGAATGGGGCGGGGTGATGGAAAGCGGGAGAATGGGGGTGGTTGATGGAAAGAGGGAGAATGGGGCGGGTGATGGAAAGCGGGAGAATGGGGCGTGGTGAAGGAAAGGGGGAGAATGGGGCGGGGTGATGGAAAGCGGGAGAATGGGGCGGAGTGATGGACAGAGGGAGAATGGGGCGGGGTGATGGAAAAAGGGAGAATGGGGCGGGGTGATGGAGAGTGGGAGGATGGGGCGGGGTGATGGAAAGCGGGACAATGGGGTGGGGCGATGGAAAGCGGGAGAATGGGGCGGGGCGATGGAAAGCGGGAGAATGGGGCGAGGTGATGGAAAGCGGGAGAATGGGGTGGAGCGATGGAAAGCGGGAGAATGGGGTGGGGTGATGGAAAGCGGGAAAATGGGGCAGGGTGATGGGAAGCGGGAGAATGGGGCACGGTGATGGAAAGCGGGAGAATGGGGCGGGGTGATGGAAAGCGGGAGAATGGGTCGGGGTGATGGAAAGCGGGAGAATGGGGCGGGGTGATGGAAAGCGGGAGAATGGGGCGGGGTGATGGAAAGCGGGAGAATGGGGCGGGGCGATGGAAAGCGGGAGAATGGGGCGAGGTGATGGAAAGCGGGAGAATGGGGCGGGGTGATGGAAAGCGTGAGAATGGGACGGGGTGATAGAAAGCGGGAGAATTGGGCGGGGCAATGGAAAGAGGGAGAATGGGGCGAGGTGATGGAAAGAAGGAGAATGGGGCGGGGTGATGGAAAGCGGGAGAATTGGGCGGGGCGATGGAAGCGGGAGAATGGGGCGGAGTGATGGAAAGATGGAGAATGGGGCGGGGTGCTGGAAAGCAGGGGAATGGGGCAGGTTGATGGAAAGCGGGAGAATGGGGTGGGGTGATGGAAAGCAGGAACATGGGGCGGGGTGATGGAAAGCGGGAGAATTGGGCGGGGCGATGGAAAGCAGGAGAATGGGGTGGGGTGATGGAAAGCGGGAGAATGGGGCGGGGTGATGGAAAGCGGGAGAATGGGGCGGGGTGATGGAAGCGGGAGAATGGGGCGGGGTGATGGAAAGCGGGAGAATGGGGCGGGGTGATGGAAAGCGGGAGAATGGGGTGGGATGATGGAAAGCGGGAGAATGGGGCGGCGTGATGGAAAGAGGGAGAATGGGGCGGGGTGATGGAAGGAGGGAGAATGGGGCGGGGTGATGGAAAGCGGGAGAATGGGGCGGGGTGATGGGAAGCGGGAGAAAGAGGCGGGGTGATGGAAGGAGGGAGGATGGGGTGGGCCGATGTAAAGCGGGAGAATGGGGCGGAGTGATGGAAAGCGGGAGAATGGGGCGGGGTGATGGAAAGCGGGAGAATGTGGCGGGGCGATGGAAAGCGGGAGAATGGGGCGAGGTGATGGAAAGCGGGAGAATGGGGCGGGGTGATGGAAAGCGGGGAAAAGGGGCGGGGTGATGGAAAGCGGGAGAATGGGGCGGGGCGATGGAAAGCGGGAGAATGGGGCGGGGTGATGGAAAGCGGGAGAATGGGGCGGGGTGATGGAAGCGGGAGAATGGGGCGGGGTGATGGAAAGCGGGAGAATGGGGCGGGGTGATGGAAAGCGGGAGAATGGGGTGGGATGATGGAAAGCGGGAGAATGGGGCGGCATGATGGAAAGAGGGAGAATGGGGCGGGGTGATGGAAGGAGGGAGAATGGGGCTTGGTGATGGAAAGCGGGAGAATGGGGCGGGGTGATGGGAAGCGGGAGAAAGAGGCGGGGTGATGGAAGGAGGGAGGATGGGGTGGGCCGATGGAAAGCGGGAGAATGGGGCGGAGTGATGGAAAGCGGGAGAATGGGGCGGGGCGATGGAAAGCGGGAGAATGGGGCGGGGTGATGGAAAGCGGGAGAATGGGGCGGGGTGATGGAAAGCGGGAGAATGGGGTGGGATGATGGAAAGCGGGAGAATGGGGCGGGGTGATGGAAAGAGGGAGAATGGGGCGGGGTGATGGAAGGAGGGAGAATGGGGCGGGGTGATGGAAAGCGGGAGAATGGGGCGGGGTGATGGGAAGCGGGAGAATGGGGCGGGGTGATGGAAAGCGGGAGAATGGGGCGGGGTGATGGGAAGCGGGAGAATGGGGCGGGGTGATGGAAAGAGGGAGGATGGGGCGGGGTAAGGAAAAGAGGGAGAATGGGGCGGGGTGATGGAAAGCGGGAGAATGGGGCGGGGTGATGGAAAAAGGGAGAATGGGGCGGGGTGATGGAAAGCGGGAGAATGGGCGGGTTGATGGAAAGCGAGAGAATAGGGCGGGGTGATGGAAAGAGGGAGAATGGGGCGGGGTGATGGAAAGCGGGAGAATTGGGCGGGGTGATGGAAAGCGGGAGAATGGGGCGGGGTGATGGAAAGAGGGAGAATGGGGCGGGGTGATGGAAAGCGGGAGAATGGGAGACCATGGGCCATCGGAATATGCAATACCATTTAGGTCATTCGATGATTTTTCCTACGCCCATAGGGATCCATGCGCTTCCTTAGCATTTGTAGGCAGAAACTGACATCATCGCAATCGTCGAACTTTTCTGTTCGCGCAAACCAAGCTGAAATTGCTCTGGTAGGTGTATTTGACCATGGGCCATTGGAATATGCAATAACATTGAGGTCGTTTGATTATTTTCCCCACGCCCATAGGGATCCATGCGCTCCCTTAGCATTTGTCAGCTAAAACTGACATCATCGCGATCGCCGAACTATTCTGTTCGCACAAACCAAGCTGAAATTGCTGTGGTAGGTGTATTTGACCATGGGACATCGGAATATGCAATAACATTCTGGTCGTTCTATGATTTTCTCTACGTCCATAGGGATCCATGCGCTTCCTTAGCATTTGTCGGCTGAAATTGTCATCATCGCGACCGCCAAAATTTTCGGTTCGCGCAAACCAAGTTGAAATTGTTGTGGTAGGTGTATTTGTCGATGGGACATCAGAATATCAGCCGACAAACGATTTTGAGAAATTTAGACACATAATCTTCATAGACTCCGTCCTTAGTTTATAACAAGTGGTATCAGAGCTAATTAAGGACTTTGTGGAGATTCTACTGAAGTGTGAAGACCCTCCTAGACCCACCATGGCCTGTGGGCGTGCCTAAGTGGAGTTCTGGATGTTGCATGTGACTTCCGCTAAGGGGAAACTCTGCCGAAATTTCGTTGGCGTCGACACTTGTGAAAATATTGTGGGACTTCGGTGTGGACAGCAAAGGGGGAGCTGAAACCTGTGATTGGGAGCTGAGGAGATGAGTCAAGGGAGTGGAGAAGCAGCTGAGAAGAGGAGTGAGCCGCCACCATCCAAGATTGAGGCGTTGGATGGCTCCAACTACGAGAAATGGAGCGGGCGGATGAGGAGCGTCTTTGAGCGCTACAAGCTGCTGAAACTTGCGATGGGAGAAGAGAAGATGCCCGAGGAAGGAGATGCTCGGGAGCGGTGGATCGAGCGGAGCACGGTGTTGTTTGACCTCATCTTGCAATCGGTCAACAACGACATGTTCCAGCACATCAAGGATTTGGTTGAGTTGGACGACTCCGGTCCAAAGGCGTGGAAGCTACTGCGCGACGTGGTTCAGCCCAACACGCTGCCGATGGTGATCGTATTGGAGAAGGAGCTGGCTGCCCTCTCCATGCGGCCGGGAGATGGTGTGAAGCCGGTCCTTGACAAGATCAAGGACACCTATGCGAGGATGGCAAAGAGGAATAATGGGGCGGGGTAATGGAAAGCGGGAGAATGGGGCGGCGTGATGGAAAGAGGGAGAATGGGGCGGGGTGATGGAAAGCGGGGATTGGGGCGGGGTGATGGAAAGCGGGAGAATGGGGCGGGGTGATGGAAAGCGGGAGA